ATCCATTTAAATAGATTTAAATAAATGTGTTACACTGTGACCAGATTGGATGTGAGCACAGACGGACGGACGGGTTGACGGACAAAGAGAGACAGGTGGATGAGATAGAAGGTAAAATGCTGTTAAATGAAGTTTTCCCTCCCATTTCCATAAAGCATGGGAATGTGATGATTGATGGCTCGGTGGCGGGAAAGCGAGGCGTCGCGGTGAAGCGCTGAGAGATGGCTGGGAGATGTGTGCAGCGAGGGGGAACAGAAGGAGATTCCATTTCAGATCTGCCCTCATCTGATGCTGCACACACATGCCAGTGCTCTAATATTTAGATTGTGTTTAGCCTTTATCTTTTTGCACTGATGTGAGAGGGTGGGGCGTGAGCACACACACACACAAATACACACACACCAACACTCGCAGGTCCTTTCAGTTAGTTTAATTAATCTGTAACTTTTAAGGACACTGACAAATCTTTAATTTCTTCTTGATTTTAACATGTGCAAGAAAATGTCTGAACGAACCAGAAAAAGAAAAAAAACTCTTCACTTGCAAAGATGTTTACCCTGTAAATATGTTTACTGAGTGACTTTCCCTCTCTTCTAAACATGCGGACAGATGTGGATGTTTATGCTGGCAGTTGGAGACCACATGCCCTTCTCTGGGGCAAAGCGGCAGCAACCCTCGAGCACAAACAGCTGCCATGTGGTTAATGTCAGCCTCCGTTACTCACTGCAAAAGCACCCAAAGGTGAGTCAGGGTCAGAGTTTTTAGAACCCTAGGAAGTTATTTTTTAACTCTCATACCTAGGGCTGAGTATAGGTACTTGATATTGTTAACGTATTGACTGAAATAACTTGGTACCAAGTAGTATTGAAACTTCCCACCCCACTGCTGAATCAGCAGACATACTGATTGTGTTTGCATACTTCCATTAGTACACTTTAATGTGGTACACTATGAAAACTATGTGCTTTTTGCATGGTGCACTAATTTCAGTTGTCTCAAATCAAGCACTGCTGTTTTGCACCTAACTGCCTCTACTTCCTCTTCGTCTTTTTTTTTAAACAGAGACTTGCTAACAGACAGTGGAGCATTATCACCAACATTTGGCTGCTATTTCTGCCCACACATGAACTAAACTTACACCACAACATCAATGCTGTTCTTGGGATATCACATTCAGGAGAACAACAGATGCAAGGTCACACTGACCTTGACCTCTGACCACCAAAATCAAATCAGTTCATCGTTGAGTCCAGGTGAACATTTGTGCCCAACTGGAAGAAATTCCCTGAAGGTGTTCTTGAGATATCACGTTCACAAGAATGAGACAGACCTTTGACCTTTGAACACCAAAAACTAATCCGTTCATTGTCCAAGTCAACACTAGTGCAAAATTTGAAAACTTCCCTCAAGGCATTCTTAAGATATCGCGTTCACAAGAATGGGATAGATGGACGTACGTATGGATGGCTGGACAGCCGGAAAACATACTGCCTCCGGCCACTGCTTTCGCCCATGCAGAGGCATAAAAATGTTGGCATTATACTTTTCTGCAAACCATAAATATGTTACACTCGCACGCACATGTTGAAACTTTATATCTCAACAACACTGAGGTTAATGTGGTTAGGTTTAGGTACAAAACACGATGTGGTTATAGTAAGAAAGATCATGGTTTGGCGTAAAATACTTGGTTTTTGTGGCACTATCCCTGCTGGAAAAACAGCAACGTGTTGCCAATAAACAGCCGTGTTTGGTACCTAAAAAGCCACTGAAAACATGTCCTGTCATGTCGGCATGATATGCAGCCGGTTGCCATTATTGTGTAGATGGGTCCAACAAATGGACTGCATGGTAAACGGACTGCACTTGTACAGCGCTTTTCTAGTCTTGCAACCACTCAAAGACTTTTTACACAACAGCACATTCAGCGATTCACACACATCACACACACACATCTGGTGGCTAAGGCTAACATACATGGTGCCATCTGTTACTCAGCAAGCATTTAAAGGCATTCACACACTGATGGATGAACAGCCGTCGGGAGCAATTTGGGGTTCAGTATCTTCCCTAAGGATACTTTGAAATGTGGACTGGAGGAGCCGGGACAACTCGCTCTACCTCTGAGCCACAGCCACCCCAACAACCAACTTTCACCCAGGAGGCTGGTGTTCACTTCCCGTATGATTGTAAAACCAAATCCTGTTCTTTGTCCTTAACCCAACCATGTGTGTCTTGGCCAAATGTAACCATATGTGTTTGTTGAAGGAAAAAAAAACCCTGTATTGACAGACTGTATGCAGACTGTACATTTCCTGTGAAAACAGAAGTACACTTTGAAAACAGACAATGCATGTAACAGGCTGAAGTTGACACGGCATCCCAGAACGTCAACAACCAACACACTCAGGGTACCTTGGACGTCATATGTCCATGTGCAAAGTCCATGACCAAACATCGATAAGTGACGAGGTCAGAGTGAGGATGTGTTTGCTGTCTCTGTCCTTTCAGTGTCTGCAGTGATACCAATCCAGTTAAATCTGACATGATTTGTTTCTGCTGTTTATGAAGGTATTTTAAAAAGCAACCAGGTGGAAAAGCAACACTTAAATTACAAAATAACTTCTGGAAAATCAGTGTCTGCTTATATCCAACAACATGACTCATCTGCAGAGTAAATTTAGATTTAAAAAAGCACAACAGAGCTGAAGTCACCGATCTGTCTCAGGTGTGTTAAAATATCTGTCCTAACTGAATCTCACCTGGTCGGAGTCAGGAACGGGCCTTTTTAAAGGACGACACAGGACTGTGTAAATGTCAACTGTATACAATAAGCCACATGAAGGAACACCTTGACATATCTATAGAGCCACCCATCCTGAAGCTTTTTATCTGTCTCTTCACTCTGTTCTTTTATTCATCACTCTATTTCTTTTCCTGGGAGGGAAGCACTGTTGGTGGAGGTCTAAACGCCCTGCAGCAGACGGAGGGATTTCAGGTGTCGAGGGAGGGAGAAAGAGAGTCAGCGAGGGATGTGAATAATAGATCAGAGAGGGGAAGAGAAAGTGGGGAAGGAGAGAATGAGGGAGGCCTGAAAAGGTGGGAGATGGAGATAAAGAGATATAAAGAGGGTGTCAAAAGGACTGAGAGACAGATAGGGAAGGAGCCTGGGAGCGAAAAAGACGTCAGAGGTAAGATTGAGTTTTCTTGGAGGGACACCGTGACAAAAAAACACTGATAACAGTCATGCATGCGTCCGTCTATCCATCCATCTGTTCCTCCTTCCTTCCTCCCGTCTCTTCCCTGCCTCCAGTGTGGTCAGGAGTCGTTGCATAAGACAGCGATTCATCTTTTATTGAGATGGGAGGCTTCCATAAATATGTCTACCTTGAGTTTAAAAGCTCAACCTGCAATCCAGCTAAAAATAAACAAAGGATACCCACAACAACAGCAAATCAGATCATGCTGTAGAGGCACACACAACACGACTTCGGCTCTTTGTTACCTCATTTCAGAAATGAGCAGTAAGTTATATTTCCAGAGTTTCCTTTAAACTGCTGTGCTCATAGACACAAGTTGCAATAATGTCAAAATCAAAGGATGACTGATGTGTGATTTTAAGGGCCAGTGACTGTTTTTGCACTGATGCATCTATATATCTTAAATGTAATGTTTGACACACAATGACATGCATGTGTTCCCTGCAAATTTTCACACAATCAGGGACTCAAAAGTGGATGATCGCTGTTTGCGTGATCCTTTTTAAATCGATCTAAAACAAGAACCATAAGAGCCAGAGCATTTTTGCAGGAGAAAGAGAAGGCTTCTGTCTTCCTCGTCACTGTCTCACGTTGTCTTATCTTACCCTACCTTTCATGCTAAGCTAAAGTAGCATTTTGCTATAGTTACACTGGTATTTTCCCCATAATGTCTGCAGGAAATCGTTGTTTGCATAATCCTGTTTGTATCTAAAATAAAAACCATAATGGTGAGAACATACTTCCTTTTTTTCACAGCAGAAAGCTAGCTGTTTCACGTTGTATGCTCATGATGATGTCATTACACTGCGGTATGTGCACAAAACTGCGCAGTAGCGGCAGAGGAACAAATGAATCTATCACAACGTCTTTGAACTCTGCTCATAAAAATTAACATATCTCAAAAACTAAATTATGCACATAGTATATTTTCTTTATGTTTCTGCATTTAAAAATCATTTGGGTAAACATGTTTTGTGTTTTTATTCTGTAAAATCTGATGAAAAAACAATTTTTTTGGTCTTTAATGGCACAATTTCAATACTTTTATCAATCATTATGCTTTATTGACTTACATAACCTTTTATCTTAGGTTGTACAGATATTAGGGATATGAAACACTTGAAGATACTCGGAGAAATTACATCACAATAAACAAAAATACCAATGTAGATACTGGTGGACCATTGCAAATGCAGAGTTCAAAGGCTTAAAAGAATAAAAATGTATAAAAAGTATGTCATTTACTTTCTTTCAACTTAAAACTTTTGACAGACAAAAACTTACTAAGTTTAATACGACAGTAATTATGTTTGTTAATCACTACAGGACATCTGGTCTAACTGTATTTATATGTAGCCCCACAAATATCTGAGTGTATTTGGTTTAAATATGGAGTTTAAGTAATGTTTATAACACTGTATGTTCTCACCGTTTATTTACACTGACAACTTTGTTCTTTTATTATAAAGATCAGGTTTCATATGATATTAGATTTTGATATTATATTCCTGTAAACATAGATACACATCTTCCTTTGCTGTTATGTAATTTTGTTTTCCACATGATGCTCACATGCAGCTGTTCTTTGTCACGTCACATTACAAAGTAGGAATCACACAGTGTGTCTTTCCAGAGAAAGGCAACTCCCTTCTTAGTAGCTACACAACAAATAAATATCCAGAGACCAATTAAAGCCTAAAAATATAATGATAAGAGAGAGGAAGGACAACAGGGTCTTACCTGAGCAGATCAATTTCATCAGCATGAACCCCTGTTCACAGTGTTTCCTATTGGCACATCTCAACAGGCAGGACGCCAACGTCAACTGGTCTCTACCACACAGTGCTGCTGCTGTATATGTAACTACAAAGACACAGAGAGAAAGAGAGAGAGAGAGGAGGGAGAGGAGGGAGAGATCAGCACATTAGTGAGGAGACAATGTGTGGAGAGCAGGGAGGGAAAACAAACAGCAGGCAGGTAGATGGAGAGAGGGAGGGAGGGAGGGAGGAGAGACTGATGTGAGAGTCACAACCTCCGAGCCCGGCTGTTTATAGAGCCCCAGGCAGTGTGTGTGTGTGTGCGTGTGTGTGTGTGTGTGTGTAAGAGAGGCAGTCAAGTGGCCACCCACGCCACCCTGTGTGTGAATTTGTGTGTGTTCAGATGTGTGTGTTCATTGCGCTTTTCCGGAACATGGCCACAGGGTTCAAATGTTCCAATCAATACCTGAAACACACACACGCGCACACACACACACACACACACACACATACACACAAACACACACACACACACACACACACACACACATACACACACATAAATACATATACGAAAATACGAGTGCTTTACTACAGGGGAGTAAGAATGAGTACAACAGAAGTAAAACACACTTGAACAACACTGAGGAGAAAAGAAATCTACATGTGTAAATAAAGGTCTTTTGAACTGAATACATTTTAAAGCAGCGTACCTGCAGGCTTCCCATTTCCTTCTCCCAAGCAAACTTGCAGCTGCTGTCACGGAAGCTCATGCAATCTTTAATATTGATTCAAACTGTCTTTATTCTCTGTGTTTTTGTTATCATTATTAGCTAAAGTTATAGTTTCTGTGATGCAGGAAAGTGGCAGTGCAGTTTGACGTGACTTAGTTACCACATGTAACCACCGTTACATTTTCACAACATTTTGTAGCAGACACGTTGAAACATTCGACTGTCCCAAATACCAGTTTTCGGGCATTGAAGCTTCCATGAGAAATGTTTGTGAATAATGCTGGTTCGAGAAACACATGACAATTAGCCACTCTATTTGCACACAGGTCATACATTAGCCATAACAGCTATAAAAAATGAATCACTTTTCAAGCTGTTACTTACAGTTTTCAGGTGAACTCGTGGATTTGTAGCAGTTTCCTTTGACTTATCTGGCACTCGACTTTTGGGAGCTATCTTGGGAGTTTGACATCTTGCTTACATATGTGTCAGCCCGTCATGTGTCATCAAAATGTCCTAGTTTATGTAGTGCTGGACTGCTGGTGACTAAAAGTAGATGAGAATGAGACGGAGTCACCAAACTGTCTGTTTGAGAATAACTAAAAAGACTAATGAAAAATTTTGGATAATGCCGTCTTTATTCATGGGATTTTTGGGGTAATGCATCCATTCATCTATTTATCCATGCACCGATATTCATCTGCTTGCCTCTCTGAGCAAAGTACTGCAACACTTTCCAGCTCTTCCTGGGGGATCCTAAGGCTTTCCCAGGCCAGACGAGGTAAACAACCCCTCTAGTGTGTTCTGGGTCTGCCCTGGGGCCTCCTACCACTGGGACTTGCACAGAACACCTCTAACGGGAGGCGCCCAGGAGGATCCTGATCAGATGTTGAACAACCTCAACTGGTCTCTTTTGATGTAAAGGAGCAGTGGCTCTACTGCATGTCTGAGCTCCTTACCCTATCTCTTAGGCCCTGTTTAGACGACAACGGTTTCTCTAAAAACGGAAAAGTCTGTCCTTTGCGTTTTAAAAAACTTCTGCGTTTATATGACGACGTTATTGAAATGATCCCCGTTCACACGGAGCCGCAAAATCTACTGGAAACACTGTAGTATGCACACCAGGCCAAGGGGTGGCAGTGTAAATTTGCATGAGGCCATGCGCCTACGCTGAAGCACCTTCCTCTACAACGCAGTGATTACAAAGCAAAACAAAGAAGACACAATGGCGAAAACATGCACAGATAACTTTGTCTGGATGGACGACGAGGTGGAGTTGCTACAGTAACAGATCTACACTTCATTTCAAATCAACAGGGTGAGCAGCCAAAATGCAACTAAAGTTTACTGTTTTCAGTTGAAATCGTTGTCGTATAAACGGGACCGAAGGTGAGGCTTGGGACGTAGATGGACCAGGAAATCAAAAGCTTTGCCTTTTGGCTCAGCCCTCTCTTCACCACGACTGGCAGTGCCCACATCACTGCAGACGCAGCACCAAACCTCAGATTCATCTCATGCTCCTTTCTACTTACTTGTTAAGAAGACCCAGAGGTACTTGAACTCCTTTGCTTAGGGCTTTTATTGTCTCCCTCCTGGAGGGTGCAATCCACCGTTTTCCTGCAGAGAACCATGGCCTCAGATTTGGAGGTGCTGACTCTCATTCATCTTATTCACACTAGGCTGGAAACCACCCTGGTGCATGCTGGAGGTTACAATGTGATGAAGCCAACAGAACCACATCATGAATATCAAACGCAATTGGAGACAAGGGACAACCCTGGAGGAGGCCAACACCCACCGGAAATGTGTTTTACTTTGTGCCAACTATGCGGTCACAGCTCTCACTTTGGATATAACAAGGAGTGGATGGCTCGTAGCAGCATCCCCGGTGGGACATGGCTGTAAGCTTTCTCCAAGTCCACAAAGCACATGTAGACTGGAAGGGCAACTCCCACTACCCCTCCTGCAGCTGTACGAGGGTAAAGAGCTGGTCGAAGCATTTGATTACTGTTTTTGACGTTGATTACCATAACAACAATCCAAGCTTCAAACCTTCAAAGCATTTGAGTCAGCCCTAATTTCAACAACACTGTGTTTTGTTCTGTTTATGCATAAAATATCACTTGGTTATGGTTAGAAAAAGATCATGTTTTGGCTCAAAATATCTGGTTTAGGGGGGAACAATCTCAGCAGTATGAGTAGCAATGTCTGAGTAAAAACCAACTGCTTTTTGTGCCTTCAAAAACTGTACAGGAAACACAGTGAGAGGTCGCTACAAAACACCCATGTTTGCTTGCTATAAAGCAGCCGAAAACACAGCAGTGACTCACTAAAACACAACCTGTTGTGTTATTTGTTGGTCTCAAACACTGGTCTGTGGTTGGCTTGGCAGGCATCTTGCCGAGGTGTCATTTCAGAAACATTAATATGATACAGATGAAGTTTGCAAACATAACATCTTCGTTGTTTGCAGAAACGTACAACACTGAAATTTTCTCCTGGTGAGTTGAACCCGACCTCACCTACAGGCACCTGTTAGTGATGCTCACAGTTGATACTGGACTCAGTTCAATTACTTAATTTTACTTTTTTTTGTAAGAGTTGTAAAATTGTTGTATTTATTTGTTTAGAGAAGTTTCCTGAGATCCAGGATCTTCTTGTTCATGTTCTTTTAATTTGTGATATTTCACACAGCTCCTGCAGCAGCTCTGCTGAATTTCCTTGGCGTCTTTCATTTTTTTCCCACATGCACTCAAGCTTTTCTGTGCTGTTTGTTTTCTAATGAATGTCTTTGTCTTATGAGAGACCATCACCATCAGTTCAGATTCTTTAGATGTGAGCCTATAAAGAGACATACTAAGGCACTGTACATGCAGCGGTCTCTACCAACAGCATGGAGTTTGGTAAACCTGTTCCAAGTAGTCTAACACTCCGTCACTGTCGAGTCACGGCGATGAGATGTCGTGCTGCACTTCCTCTAATTCTGATCAATCATGAGCGCTGCGGAAGATCTAATCCCTCACTTCTTGTGTGTGTGTGTGTGTGTGTGTGTGTGTGTGTGTGTGTGTGTGTGTGACTCATGTGAACCTACGATGCATTCTGCTTTGTTGTTACATAACTGTCCCTGCTCACACAGACAGATATTACAGACAACACACTCTGGCAGCTAAACTGAACTATCGCTTTGCTCTGCCACACACACGCGCACACACACACACACACACACACACACACACACTGGGTTGTTCTCATCCCAGGCTTGCACTGTGTGTGTGTGTGTGTGTGTGTGTGTGTGTGAGAAAGAACAGAACTCAAAGGATTTGTGTCAACTCCAACCCGACTGTGCTTTGCAGGAAGAACTGAAGCAACAACATGAAGGGGGAGAGAAGAAACACAACATGACCTCTTCTAATTTACACTGCATGAGAGTTTAAAAAGAAAGCATAAAATAAGATAAGGTCACTTTCTCTGGTACCTGTGTTGGTGAGTAACACCTGCTCTGCTTCATTGATTTCTATTTTAAAGGTCCAGTGTGTAGGATTCAGGGGGAAATGTTGCCAGAAATGGAAAATAAACACAATAAATATGTTTTCTTTAGTGTATAATCACCTGAAAATAACAACCACTGTGTATTTTTTACCTGAAGCCCAGTTCAGAGCAAAGATTTGCAATGAAACAAGTTGAAACAGGCAACTACTTGCAATGTGCTGTTCTAAAAACCTGCTGGTTCACACCAAGTCAACTACATGAGACAGCGTATCATCTCTAGTCAACAACTCTCTGTGCTTCTGATCTGTAACGCTGACAGGAAGTGACCACCATGAGACGGCGTATCATCTCTAGTCAACGACTCTCTGTGCTTCTGATCTGTAACGCTGACAGGAAGTGACCACCATGAGATGGCGTATCATCTCTACTCAACGACTCTCTGTGCTTCTGATCTGTGACGTTGACAGGAAGTGACCACCATGACCCGGCGTATCATCTCTAGTCAACGACTCTCTGTGCTTCTGATCTGTGACGTTGACAGGAAGTGACCACCATGAGACGGCGTATCATCTCTAGTCAACGACTCTTTGTGTTTCGTTCTGATTTGCAGCTTTTCAGACTTATTTTGTGGCTGAATATAATTTGTAGCTTCTTAAAATCTGAATGAGGATAGTGATAGTGATATACTGGCTACAGTGATGAAACAAAACCAGCATCAGATGGACTGTATTCATAATCAATACACCACAATAATATAAATAACCAGCGCCAATTCATCAGTCAATGAGAATGTATGTGTGGGTGGGGCATAAGCACATACAGCCAGCAGAAGCAGCGACCCATCATCCGACACCGGCACACCGTGAGGATGGAAACAGAGGGC